GGAGGGAAGGGGAGGGGAGGGGAGGGAAGGGCATGGCATGGTGGTGTGTCGTGGGGGCGTGGCGGGGCAGGGTGTGGCATGGCTTGGCAATGCGTGGCATGACATGGGATGGTGTGGCATGGTGTGGTATGGTGTGGCATGGCGTGGAATGGCATGGCGTGCCCTGCCCGTGCAGGGCAGGGCATGGGGGGGCAGGGCAGGGCAGGGCAGGGCATGGCGGGCTTGGCAGGGCATGCCATGGCGGGCATGGCGGGGCATTGCACGGTGGGCAGGGCAGGGCATGACGTGGCGGGCATGGCACGGGCAGGGCAGAGCAGGCATGGCATGGACGACAGGGCTGGCAGGGCGTGGAGGGCAGAGGGCGGGGGCAGGGCATGGAGGGCAGGGCAAGGGCAGGGCAGGGGGCAGGGCATGGAGGGCAGGAAAGGGGCAGGGCATGGAGGGCGTGGCAGGGCGGGGTGTGGATGGTGTGGCATGGTATGGCATGGTATGGCAATGCATGCCAATGCGTGGCATGGAATGGAGGGAAGGGCGGGGGCAGGGCAGGGTAGGGCAGGTCAGGGCTGGGCTGCGTTGGGCTGGGGGACTGGGTTGGTCTGGATGGCATGGCACGGCTTCATGGCTTGGATGGAGGGATGACATAGACGGATGGCATGGCTGGAGGGTTGACATGGATGGATGGAGTGGACGGAGGGTTGACATGGATCTATGGATGACATGGGTGGAGGGATGACATGGATGGATGATATGGATGGAGGGATGACATGGATGGGTGATATGGATGGAGGTATGACATGGATAACATGGAGGGAGGACATGGATGAATGATATGGATTAAATGGGAGGGAGGACATGGATGGATGACATGGATTACATGGAGGGATGGGATTGATGGATGACGTGGATGACGTGGAGGGATGGGATGGATGGATAACATGGATTGCATGGATGGATGACATGGAGTGCACGGATGGATTTCATGTATGGATGGATGGATGCGGTGGATGGATGGATGGATGGATGGATTCATGGATCACATGGATTATATGGATGGAAAGGGAGGGGTATATGAACAACCCAGTTCTGTTTACAAGTGCAGAAAGTTCCACTAGGATGCATCTTGATGTGAATATGTCCAATTGCATGATCAGGATCTGGATGTGAAGATGCCCAGGTGCATTCTAGCTGGGCTACCCTCCTCCTCAGGACACAACGCACCCTCATTGTGGCTGTATGGGACCAGAAAGATAGCTCGGATACATTCATTTTTATCAGGTTGCGTTATGTTCCGGGGGAAGACGGTAGTTCTGTCTTTTAAGTTTTGGGACATAAACATGCTATTAATCTCCTTCATCCCTTCGAATGAAAATTGTTTGGTTGGATGGATGGATGGATAACAGCAATTCTGGAGCCTCGTGGAAAATCTGTCCGGGCCACGTCGTCAATGACCAGCGAACCGACTTCCAAAGGAGAAATAGAAGCTGGAAAGAACACTTCTGCTGCAATCGTGGGGGAGATTAATCGGACCACGGAAGCAATGAACCTGACATCCCCTGGTGGACAAACAAGCCCGAAGGGAGTGAAGCCAGTTAAGAAGCTCTCCATAATAACCACAAAAACGGACGACCGTTTCCCATCGTCTGCCGAGCTGAAGAACTCATCGCCAGGGAAGTGTCCGACACTGTCTCCGTCAAAAGTGCTATTGGACTTTGCTGCAGTCAAGGCGCTGGCTCTGTCTCCCAGCTCCCCATGCTCGCCGGCATCGTCAAGGGGTCTGCCGTTCTCAGTGAGGAGTCCCCGAAGCGTCAGTGAAGCTTCCTCGAAGATACCATCGCCAGTGGGACCTCCGTCGCCAGCAGAACCTCGTTCACCTGTGGACACGCCACGGTCTCCCAGCGGGTCGCCATTGGACGTCCCACATATGCCTTACGACCTGACCTCTTTGCACAAACACGTTAACGACCAAATGCAGGCAATGACGTTCATCGCTAGTCCTGACCAGATCAAGGACGACTCCTCGATTCTGAGTAGTGATCTCAACGATGACTGGGAGTCCCCCATATGCGTGGACAGTAGCGACACCTACAAGAAATCGTACATTGAGCAAATGCTGATGTCGTTTCGGCTGTTCCATGCGCCGAGCGCGCACGATCCAAACTCGAATTACGATCTGCTTTTTACCAGTCATCTGACAGACTTCCTTAGATTGGAAAGTTTGAGGCCAGGCGTAAACAACTTTCAGCATGTTTTCGACAAGTTGCTCATCGATGCAGCTGCAGAGGAACTTACACGACAGGTGAAGCTCGCAAAAGAATCTGCCTCAAAGCATCGAGGATTGCAACAACAACAACAACAAGGAAAGCCGGCACCGTCATTCGATGAGCTGGTAACATCAGTTGTTGACGAAGTTCTCGCCCGGTCTAACCTCTGCCGGCAAGACGTGTCATTACAGGAATCCATATCCATTCTCACCAGTCAGATCGGAAAGGAGAAGTGGACGGACTTCTCTCACGAACGGGATGACGTAGCAGGAGAACTCTCTGAGATATTACTGTCAGAGATCCTAGAAGAATCAGTTCGGGCCCTTGCACGTGGGACGAAGGCTTCAAGAGCCGCATCTAGTATACAACATCTTCCATTGCAGGTGGGGAAGTGAAGACTCTGAGGGTTTTTAAGTTCCATCTGGCAGTGAAGCCTTTGTGCCTTGCAACACCCATGCCAAATTCTCAACTCAGCACCAGTATGCTGCAGTCTAGAGTTGCAGTTTGTTCGCCCATTGGGAGTTTGAACCTTCTGTTTCCTGCTTTAAAAATCTTCCATGATGACAGCAGCAGTGTGACCATATTCTCATCCATATTCTTATCCGTATTCTTATCCATATTCTTATCCATATGTTTATCCATATTCTTATCCATATTTTATCCATATTTTTGCTTCATTCATCTAGATCCATCCGGATTTGAACTCAGGTCTGTATTTCAACAATTCACAAGCGTACCAGCTGAGTTAGGGCCATTTTTATCCATATTTTTATACCATAGTTTTATCCGTATTTTTGCTTCATACATCCAGATCCATCTGGATTCGAACTCAGGTCTGTATTTCAACAGCTCATCAGTGTGCCAACTGAGCTGGGCCCGTTTTTATCCATATTTTTATCACATGTTCTTATCCATGTTTTTCTTAATCCATATTTTTATCCATGTTTTATCCATATCCTGATGAATATTCATAGTATGTTCATACACAATTGTTCATTTCGACGGTTTCCATGATTATTATTTTTGTACAGTATTGTAAATCAGGTGTAGGTGAGCTTTACTGTATACAGAGGCTAATACAGTGCATTGAGTGCAAGGATCTAGGGTTTCGGAATTGCTGTTTAGGAGTAAGGGGGCTACTCATAGTAATCAGACTTGCTAAAGTAGGACTTATTTGCAACAAGTGTCCCCTCCACTGCAGCTGAGGAAGGCTTTTTGGAATGCAGGAAAAGATGTATTGTGCGGGAGGAAGGCAGAGCATGTGCAAGTGGAGGAGAGCTACAAGGGGGGAGGAAGCTGCAGCTGAGGGCAGCAGGGTGTCTACAGTGTAAGGCCGAGCCTGCAAGAGAGGTGGCTGGGATGAAGCGCGCCTGGGAATCAGAGGAAGTTGGAGTGAGAGAACATGGATGATGAGAGCAGTCAAATGGCCACAGCAAAGAGCGACATAGTTATGCATCCGTGGGCCCTCGCATGTGTGAGAGAGACAGAGACAGACGGGCACAGATGGACCCACATAACGAGAGAGAGAGAAAGCAAGAGCGAGCGACCGAGAGAGAGAGAGAGAGAGAGAGAGAGAGAGAGAGAGAGAGAGAGAGAGAGAGAGAGAGAGAGAGAGAGAGAGAGAGAGAGAG